GTTATAAAATTATTATAACAAAATTTATGTGTAGAAGTTGTATAAACTACTAAAAGTAAGGATATTATTAAAAAGTTGTATAAGTTAAGAATATAAAATATACTTTTAATAATTTATTTGATGCAAAAATAATATAATGTGTTTATTGGAATTGAATTACTACAGTTTGTACAAAGTTTTGCACCATTTGTTGGAAGAAATTGTGCAAATGATTGGATATGTACTAACACCATTTAAACAGTTTTACAAACCCTAAAATATATTTGTGTTTTTTTCCTGGTTGGGACATGTTTTTAACGTTTCCACCCAAGGCATCAAAAAGCTTTGGGCCGACCCTGTTTGTGTGAATATTGTTTTTCATAAAAACAATGACCTAACTTAACAATAGCTAATATAGGGGGTGTTTGAGATTGCTTGTTTAAAGTGTTTATTAACTTATTCCAGTGTGGTACCGGTAATAAGGAGTTTTTAGTGTTTGGATGAAAAAAAAGATAAATGCTTATTCCATCGATTTGGTGTGTGGTTTGACACCAATAACACACAACCGCACACCAAATCGAATGGAAGAGTTCTTGATTAGTCTTGATTGGTGTCGATCGGTCCCAATGGGTCTTCGATCGATCTTGAAGTGTTCTTGATTGGTTTCGATCGATTCACGGTCCGTCTCGATAAAAGTTGAAAGTCGTAGCGTATGGTTTTATGCACATAAACAAATGATAAATAAATTGATAGGTTCTCGATGGAAAATGAAGGTGGTAGGTTATAATTTAACACACATAAACACATACCAAGTCAATGAATGGATTCTTGAACTTTCTCGATCGGTCTCGATGGGTTCTCGTTCTGTCTCGATGGGTTCTCGATCGGCCTCGATGTGTGTTGGGTTACGGTAATGAAGAACGTGGTGTCTTACGACGATAAAGAAAGTGTTGAAGAAGGCGATGTCGACTTACGAACTTACAGTGTCAACTTGTTGTACACACTTGAACATACATAAGTATTCATAATGAATATAACACTATACATCATTTTACGTAAAAAACGGTTAAAAGGGGAAAAAAATACTATATCAAGATAAATGTCATACGTAATAAATGTATTTCATAATAGTTTTAGTTCATATACGATTATTTATTTTAAGTATAAAATAAAAAATGGAAAAGTAAGTGGTATGAAACAAATTATATAACTAATTATAAGAGTATAAATTGTAATTTAAATTTTAAAAATATTTGATCTTTAATATTATCTTGGGATGTGGAGATCTAAAATTATGAGTTCTACAGCTTTAAATTTGTAAATGAAGGGCGTAAAATAGAAATGAAAAAAAATAAGAAATATAAAACCAATTAAATACGATAACTATAAAGTATAAAATGAAAGTTTTAAAAATAATTCACTACGTATTTATGTTATTTAATAATATGAGATTAAATCGAAAAATATTCAATATTAGGCTCATTCTGAAGACAATTGATAAGGCGATTATAATGATATAATTTGTAAAAAGTGAAACGTATTTTTTAATATATTTTAGTTAATACTAGAAGGATACTCGCACAATGTAGCGAGATACATTTCAATTTTAATATTTTGTTTTATTATTTGTCCTTGTCGATATAATACGGTTTTACATGGGCTTTGAAAAAGCAATAATGTTTTTATTTTTGAATAAAATATAAATTTAAAGATTTCATAAAACCTTAAAAAAATATATATCGATATTAGTATCAAACTAACTATATAAAAATTCTCGTTATTTGTATAATTTTTTTAATTCAATTTCTAATTATAATTTAATCTATATTTAATAATGAAATAATTTAGTTTTGATTTAATA